GTTCTTTTTACGAACACAGTGATGCTTCGGTTTAATTTCCCTTTCCCAGTTGTATCATTTTATACGAATGGTATGCATAGCCGACCCCTGGCATGTGGAAGGCATCTGACACATAAAGTATGTTTTGTTGGGGATCGTTTTTCTTTAACTTTTCTTAAATTAGAAATTGCTGAATACTGTTTATTCCATTATAGATTTACGGTCGACAAAGCAGGATTTTATCTGGACAGATAGGTTTTTTCATGAAAATATAGTTTTATATTGTGCCTTACTTAAGCTATTATCGATTCGCAGGTACGAGAAACAGTTGGCTCGCCAGCAGAATCGAAGCGTTTTTCCACACTCTCTTAGATTAGATCCCGTTTGGAACTTTTTTCCATCGTTATCTTGGGATTTTTCAACCGATCCTGTTTGCATCTTCCTTCCCGTACTGTCTGCTAGGAACGTTTTTTTCTAGTCCTGTGCGAAGATTTCTCTTAAACATCCTTCTTCCTGTATGCGAGGAGAGAATGCGTTTTTTATCGTCTCGTTACTTATTTAATTTTCTGTCCCTCTTTTAGTTTGTCATGACTACGATGTTATTACAGTTAGAGGTCAAGAATTAGAAGTTTCATTTCATGCAGTCGCAATGATATTTGGTGTCCACTTTGTCCCAAGACTGACCGTGTGAGCTATAAATTATGTAGCCGGGTTATACAAGAAAAGCTGAGCCACTGCTAAAGAACAACTAGCTGTTCACCCGAAAGTCTATGAATATATAGCCCTGTTCAGGTTTCAAAAATAGTTTGCAATGAGCAGATAGTCGTTTAACAGACTTGTGTTTGTTAGTGCTCACTCGTTAACCGATTCAAACGCACGGAACATAAATGGGTCAGAAGTAGTTTGCTCTTTCAAGGATGTGATTGTAAGATATCAAACAACAAAGCAGGTATGTAGTTCTGATAAATACCCTATCGTATGGTGGGACTTCAACATTAGAAATGAATCATTCGAGCTAAGCTTTCGCGTGCGAATAAGTGATGAATTGTGGTACGCAGTACATATATATTGATCAGTTCATCCTAAAACGAAGGATTATTTAAAAGTTTAACATTGCCGATTTGCCATTCCATCTCGTTAGGGTTTTTCTATGTCACATGAAATCTTGTTGTGGTATATAAGCGATTAGGGAAAGAATTGTCCTTGTTGTCAAGATATTTTATAAAGGAAGGGAATGGATACACCGTATGCTTCTGTCGTCATTGAACAGTCGTTATTGAACTTTGTAGTTTGTTAGCTGAGGAGCGTGTTAGGTAGGAAAATTCATGACATTGAGGTTATAGTTGTTTTTTTTTGGTGAAGTTGCCTTGACGAGTTTTAATAACTTTATACCCACAGGTATGAAAGCATGTGTTACTGCTGCTATATCTTTCCGTTATTTCTTATACATTTGAAAACAAAACTGTAAGGTTCCAGATTGTTGTTAGAGAAATCGCCCATTTTCATCTTCTTATCTACGACTTTGAAATTCCATCATCATCATCAGAGAGAGAAAGCTGCAAGAAAGCGTTGTAGAAATAATTTGAACTCTTGATCTAGGAGCAGATTGTGAAGAATGGGGTTTCCCAGAATTTGAATAGCTTTATCTCATTCTCAATTCAAATTATTTTTGGGCTCTATCTGGTTGGTTTAACAGTAGATCGACTAGAGTCTCACGTTAACGTTGAATACTCTTCTTCAAGAATAATTTTCTGAGTGCTACTACTTTCTCTCTATATGTGTTTATTGAGTTGTAGAGAAATTTCACATTGCTAGTTCCTTCCTTTGCTGCCAGAAAGTGAGTTATTTATGTGTTCCAGATAACCAAAATGTTTGCTTTCTTATTGTTTCATGATAGCTTTTCTTTTATTCCCAGAATATCCCATTGTCTATTAGCGAAAACAATGTGAGTGGTTCAGCGTTTTATCGTGACGAGATTGTCCCTTAATGCGGGTCCGAGACGGTCGTAATGTGCCTTAGGGAGGTTCCCCGCTCTTTCATTACCTAAGTGAATTAGACCGTAATGTAAAACATAGAAATGAGTCAAATAGTTAACTATGGCACACGGTACTTCGTCTTTGTAATGCGACTACGTCGAAGAAAAAAACAGCAATCCTTATTTCGCCTGGTTGCGAGTTTTTCTGGTAAATTTATCTCCTTGTCATGTAAATTAGTTCCTTTTCCGAATTCCAGTTTTCGATTTTTCTTCTCGTTCTTCGCCAAAAACTAACTTTCGAGCCATCCCTTAACTGTCGGTTGCGTTGTTTGAGAGCTCTTAATAAGATTCGTGTCCTCGAAGGGTCCCAGATTTCATGTTACCGCTCAACACTGTGTGCTCCTCGTACGTTATACTCTTTCGTATCCGCCTGACCTCGCTATGGAGGTTGAATACTGGCTAGCGGAATTCATCACTGATCCCTACTGTTGTCGTCGGCGTTGAAGGCGATTATGATTGTTGTTCTAGTTTATGGCCGGAAATGCGAGTACTGAGCCTGGGAAAGTGTGGATATGGAATTAGAGTCTTTGAATCGTGTTGTTGAGCTACTCTCTCGGCGTTTCCGTTTAGTCAAAAATGTTTATACTGTCGCAATAAGAATGCCTATTTAATAGGTAGAGGATGAATAGGGACTGCATTTTTCCATAAGTAGACAAGCTGATAAGAATACACTTTAGTACTTATTCTTCATTCATTCATTCATTCTTGGGTGTCACATGGTCGTCTCGTACCCTCGCTGCGTTAATTGACAGCCACATTTTTGTCAACGGGCTAACGAGATTTTGAATCGTCAGTGGCGGCCAATTTTATTGATGGCTTGTGTTTCTACTGTAGTTACCGTATCTTTGCTGTCGTTTTTGTTGTTGTAAGCGTGAGTGGGAACTCTTTCCTTCTCTTCAATTTTTGTCTGATAGTGCAGAGTTCAGAAGTAATTCAATAAAATGTTCGCTGAGAACTCATCCATCGTCATTTTTGATGGATGCGACAGAAGGGCGTATTGTTGCTTAGTAGCGGCTTACGTGCACTAAGCTCTATGCATTTACTGCGCATGTTTGCGAACGAAAACCTATCACAAATATTGAGGAACAATTTTTTTCTTAATTATTAGACGTTTAGAAAGTTATTGATCGTTTTTCGATTACTACCGACCGATACGATATACCGATACTACGATATACGAACGTTGCAAAGGGCGCGTGTGGCGCAGTGGTTGGAAGCGACACACACGTGCAATCGATTCCTGCGCCCATGGCCCACCAAGCCCTCCATCTCTCCGGGCTTGGCAAATTGGTACCAGACCTGTCTAGGAGGATAGTAGTATTGGTTCGATGCATCGGTAGGCCACTGCGAGTCATTGTAAAGTCCAGATACGCATTCAGTCACCTTCAACAATACTTAATGAAGTCGAATGCATGGCGCATCCTTCAGGGATTGGTCAATCAACGCCGACAGCTTTATCCTTTTACCAACCGATAATTGTTTGATGAATACAGTTGCTGAATATACTTGAGAACTTGACAGTTGTAGAGGAGACTTCTTCCTATGGATTTTATCCAGTAATTTGCTTAAAGCATATTTTCGTTTTAATTTCCAAACCGTAATTAAAATCGCAAGAATACGTTAAAACTTTAAATTTTTTATGGAAGCGCGGCAGTCGCTCATGCTGAGGAGGCATTCACAATCGCCGTTGTGTGCCACTGAACGAGACCTACTTATCGAACTGCTTTGCTGCTTAATGTATAGTAGAAATCGAAATTTCATCGTGCTAGAATGAATATAAGTCTTATGTTTGACTTGAAAACATAAGTCTGGAAAACATTTGTTTGGAGTCGAAAAGTCGAGTGATTTTTGACGAGTCAGTGAACTCAAACTCTCATGTAGTCGTGGACGTGCCACTGAGACATCATAACTTGCGGAATGTGGACCTAGAGGATTTATTACTTACTTGTTGATCTAGTTTTCTGTTGGAGTTCTTAAGGGGAATTTCGTTCTGAGGTTGTTGTATATTACATTTCTTGGTTTAGGGGAATTATTAATAAATTTTGTGGATTCATCAGCATTTGTTGATGAAGCACCAAAATTGCGCATCGTAGGAGACCATGAGCCAGTTGACTGTTTGACCCTGAGTGTAGTCGTTGGTGTTCAATTACACGAGTCAGTTGTGCAATGTTGTGTTTGCGGGTGATGATGTATTAACTGGTAATTAATGGGTATAGTTAGTGGGAATAATTCAATAGAACACGGTAACTGTTGAATGGTGTGCGATGACAGACATTCGATCATAATTGTTGAGTTGACGATGTACACATTCGCGGAAGATCATCGCATTCGTGATCGGTCTTTCATTTAGACTTGTGTGCCGAATGGATTACGGTTTCTGTTTGTATGTCTGGTGAACATTATATAGCAATGGTCATACTTCTGATTATCCTACGTTTTTTTCCAACTAGAGCATTCACAATATTTAGTTATCTCACCGATTCATTTAGGTAAAGTGCTTGAAGTTCTATCTTATAGTGATCGCAGAGAGTTCACTTCTCCTAGACAAGTCTGGTTCCAATTCACCGAGCCCTGATGAATGATCGGCTTGATGAGTCTACTATGGGGTCGAGCACCGTGATCATGGTGATTGACATTGCTGCTACTGCGCTACTCGCTTCCTATGATAGGGGTTTATAACAATTTTTGCCTTTCATGATGTTTCTTGGGTACGTCTGCTAAGTGAACTGCTCATTGAGCGGTAAGTGGATTTTTCGGAACGGCGATGTAAACGCTGAACATTTTGTATAGCTACCAATAAATCCATGTTGTCGAACGCTCTGAATCATTCATAAAAAGACTTGTTGCCGTAGTCCTAAATAGCAAAGAAGAATTTAGCACTTTCCTCGAAATAACATCTGAAGGCCGCTGAAGCAGAACTTTTGAGGCTCCAAATAATCATGTAGCTTGAATTTTTTTCTCGTTGTGTTCACGCTCACCATTGTAGGCAGCGAAGCAGCGCGGATTTAGTATTAATGTGTCCAGTGGGAAAGCGCTGGCAGACAGTCTGAATCGTGCCGTGGATGAGAACAATCCGATGCTGAATCGACTATTGAGAATGTTAACAACAAGATGCATGACACAGGCTGTGTATTTCAGTGCAGGTTGATGGTTCTTATCACTCATTTACTGGGTTGTTCACTTGTTTGACACTGATTTAGCTGATTTAATACTGTTTACTGTTCTTTCATTTCAAGAAAGCAAGGATTAAAATAGATGTTCCCAAAAGAATTTGAGTCACTTATATTTTTTTCAGAGTAGTGGTGTTAAGAAGTGACGCCTAAGTGAATAAGTGGAAGATAATGAAGATTATGATTATGAGATTCTCAATGTGCGGGTTAATGGCTGAACGTAGTGTAGACCATCGTAATTTTTAAATTTGTTCTCCCCCAGCAATGAATTTTCCGGTTTAAGAATACCATTATAGTTGTGCTGAATTCATTGAAGTTATTCTGCGATTTGAAGTGTAGGCGGTACATTATCTACTCGGATAAATCACTTCACATATATTGTCTAACTACAATGATGCTGAGATATTTGCAAAACCCCGGACCGCAGGTGTCTGCGTTGGGGAACGAACGCGCTGTTACCCTTTCTGGGGACTGACACGTTCACCACCACACCTTGAACGCGTTAGCCTCTGAAAAGAGTAATAGCGCGTTCGTTAACCACCGCAGACACCTGCGGTCCAGAGTTTTGCAAGTACTTTAGCATCGTTGTGGTTGTATTTCGCATAATACCCTGCCGTGAAAAATTGTAGTAGGAAGCAATTTAAAAGTAAATATTGTATAACTATTTTGCTCCTTTTTTCTTATACTGAAACGAACATGTTTGCCATTCAGGAACGGTACCAGTTCAGCATTATCAGCATTTTGGTCTAGCTTGTCCGATATACACACATTTTACGTCACCGATACGACGCTATGCTGATGTAGTAGTACATCGACTTTTGGCGGCTTGTATTGGAGCCGACGACGTTAGTATCGGCTTGCTAAGTCAGGCTAATGTGCAGAAGATATCGCAGAATATCAATTATAGGTGAGCACTTGTGCATTTTGGTTACAGTACTTCTCGCTTCGCTGCTTTTATCCATTGTTCCTGTGTTTTTGACTGTCGTATTACGTTACTAAGCAACAGCTTCTTATGGTTATTTGAAGACGGAAATTAGCAATTCCTTAAAGGATTAGTTGGTATTCCTTTTTTTGTCGTAGAAATATTACTAAGCCACCGTATTGCTTTTGAAATCTCTAGGTAACATTGTAGGCACAAAAACGCGCAGTACGCTGGCCGTGCATCTGTGCAGTTGAATGTGCTGACATATTTCCAAGGACGGGAAGAGATGTGCGAAGGATTCGTCATGGGTGTTCGAACAAATGGCATACAAGTAGGGTAATATTTATTTTTGACTCCAATATTCGACTGTACAGCTGTTTCGCTCTTCGCTAAGGACAATGTGTATCATGTCCAAAAATGTTTCTCACAACTTTCGGAGCTTTAGCTCTTTCCAAGGAAGTGAGGAAAGGAAGTGATCACACTAAACGTAGAAGATTGGGGAAGTTTAACAATGTTTCTTCGTGTGAAAAATTTCATGAGCTCTATTAACCCATTATCGGTGACAATCACTCCAAGGTTACGCTGAGGCGGTAATTACAGGACTTTGTTTGTGTCAGTATTTCTACAGCATAAGAATAGCTGGCTAAATTAAAATCGTTAAGTACTTTCTGTAAGATATCGCTTTAGATTCCCTATGTTACTCAGACGAGTAGGAAGCGCAAACTAGCAATTTTCGTTAATTGGAATTCTTGTTGGGCTCAACAACTTATTAGAAGAAGTTTCTTGAACGCTGAACATTGGAGCGATGATGTTTTAAAGTGCAAATTTCGCTACTATTGTTGCTGTTGCTTTTGTTGGTGTTGCTGCTGCTGTTTTTGTGTGAGTGTAGTTCCTGTCGCCGACGAACATTTCTTGCTGCACGTGACCTCAGCCAGTTTTTCAACTGCCTTTTTCACCATGATTGGCATCGCAGTGCTTTGCGCATACATTTGTGCGTGTATTTTTGTATGTTCCGCTCGATTTACCGCAAACGGGTAGGCGACGGTAGAGAAAAAGCGGACGAGTTGTCCAACCGCTGAAAATGACCTTCGTGTGAGCCATAAACTTATTCGTAGTCGAGAGATCAAATCACAACTCTTTCGATGATTTAACATTCGAATAAGCATCTCCCATAAGCTGTTTTCGTAGAGTAGCTCATGATAATAATTTCATAATGATCTAAAGTATTTACGTTGGTTCCTTTCTAGTGCTCTAATCTGCTGCCAACATGGCCGTTTACCCTGCCGCGATTTCACGAACGTTCTCTTGAGTGGTCGATTTTAGGTGTTCGTACCCAAGTACGGTGTGGAGTCGATAATTGTTTTACAACAAGGAAAGGGGACAACGATAGACATCGACGGGGGATGTGTTCGACATAATGAGAACGTTATTAAAGAACTTGGTTAGTGATCTTTTATAACGTAAATTAATGAGAGCCTTGATGTGCCATTTTTTTCATAAGGAGCGCCAAGATGTCTGTGTCATTCTGCTGCGCTTCACTTTCATGTCCAACGTATTTCATAATTCAAATGCATTCAATTCTTTTATGAGATGTACGCTGTAAATTAGTTTCTCACAACATAAAGTCCATATTTAATGCGAATTTTGTGTTGTTGCTGTTATATATTGTAGCAAAATATCATACTTATTTGGTTGCTTTAGTTATGAAGTTTTTGAAGGGTTGTCTTTTAGATCGAGTAAAAGTACGTGTTCGATTGGACGAGCACAATGTCCAACGTCGTCGCATAGCGCTCGACCTGATTGATCCATCAACACTTCCCGGGTTATCAGTAGACTTCGATCTTTCCGAATCGATCGGCATCGGATTTTAAGGCGTTTAGTTATATTTACGGACTTCTTGTTATTATCAACACTTTGTTATCGTTATTGTTAACTGAATAAAATTTGAAAATTGTTCCACACGAAGTTGCCTCAATCGTGGAAATTGGATGGGTAATAATTAGCTAGAATATGGGGCCCTATTTTAGATTTATGTGCTATATAGAAAATGAGAAGTGAACAAAAGGCAATGTCATTCGTCCATGAGAGACGTGGCACTTCTCTTTTTTTGTCTGCATTAGATACAGAGAACTCTGAACCGCATATATATGAATATATATATACATATATATATATATATATATACTTTATTAAGTTACTACTGTAGCATACATATCTCAGTGATCACCACAGAGCACGTACATTTGGCTATTATACGAGATTGCGTAGGATACTGCCTAACTAAAGTTCACATGCCTTTTTTCTACTCGGAAAGGCTTTGTAGGTAGTGAAGACATAATGCTATAACGGCGTTGAGAATTTTCTACTTGTGAATCCCACATGAGTCTTGTTGCCCGTAAATTTTGAACGAGGGCTCTGTGTCAGGTACACAATTGGCCAGGTCTTCGACAGACTTATCTTGCGGAGGTAGGTTGATCAGTTCTTTTTCTACATTTTAAGCACAGAAAGTTACGTGATTCTGATTGCTTCGAACAAAGTAGCCAGGCTCTTTCCCATTAATAAGACCTGGTTGGATTGAAGTATTTTAAATCGCCATGACTAGTCCTTGACTAAGTCTAGTGGGACTGAACAATGTATTACAACATATTCGCCTAGACGGATTTTCAATCGACACCTAGGACAGTGAAAAATTGGGCGGTTGTTGTGGTTTTTCAACGGATGCAGCTGTGTCTGATACTACGCCCGTGTATGCCGTTGTTGGAATCGACTGTCGCATCCAATCCATTGGGTAGTCGTCCTTTGCACGAAGCCACTCCTTATGTTTTTGTTCAAATCCCAAGATATCATTTATCGAGTAGGCAGCTGAAAGGAGTCATCATATAAGAAGAACAGAGGTCGCTTAAGAATCTTGGAAGCCCATTATCAGAATGAAAAAAAAACGAATATAGCATCCTAATTTTCAAGTACAAAATTCTCGTGTGGTTCTCCTTAAGGAGGGAAAGCGAGCCTTTAAACTAATGGGTACTGGTTTTAATCAGAATGAGCTATTAATCTTGGTGTTATTTGGAGACTAATTAGAAACACTGCTCAAACCATCATATTAACGATTAACATTGAGGCAAATTTACCGTCGTTTTGTAGCCAAGTAGGAATGGAGTCGGATTTTCTAAGAGGTTTGCACTTCAGTTTCTTAAAATTTTTATCAAATTAAATAATAAATAGGATAGAAGTTCCGAAATTTTTCCGGAGCAAATAGGAAACTGGACGAAACGATCATATGGACACTATAAAGTCCAAACTGAGTGCAGTGAGCCCGGAGTTTTCTTTTTTACAGTACCATGTGCACTCATTCGATAGGTAATCGAAACCATGCGGAAATAATGGGAATGAGTTTAGAAAAACCATTCTCTACACCTAGTGACTTGCAAAAACCCTCGTTTCGAGGAAGTTCATTGGCGGATAATTTGATTAACGGTCAACTGGTTTTTCACTTTAATCGCTATGGTCAACGCATTAAGGGCGCGTGTGGCGCAGCGGTCCGAGGCGCCCAGCAAGACGTACGTGGAATCGATCTCCTCTTCCATGGCCCACCAATCCTTCCATCCCTCCGGGCTCGGCAAACTGGTGCCAGATTTATCTAGGAGGATAGCAGCATTGGTCGATAGATCGGTAGGCCACCGCGAGTCATTGTAAAGGCCAAATATGTATTCAGTCACCTCCAAACGATGATTAATGAAGTCGAGTGCATGACGCATCGCTTAGTTATTGATCAACGCCGACAGCTTTATCCTTTTTATCCTTTAAGGTCAACGCATGGGATCTGTGGATTCTAAAAACATCAAAATGGATGCAGTATACGATGCAAAGTACTTTGAAATTTTGACAGCAGTACATTTGCATAATGACCCATAACAACAATTAGTAAGCAGTAGCAAGCATACACCTATACTCTTTGAGCGGTAGAGCAAAGTCTCACCTATCACCTATCACCTATAGTCCCGTTGGTCGTCGAGTGACTCAAGCGGGCACCAGTAAATCTTCCATTTTTCCCTGTCGGGTGCAAGAGTAGCCCAATGGGTTCTGCTCGCTCTAGGGACTCGTCGAGCATCATATCTTTCTTCAAGGCTCTTTGTAAACAGCTCTGACCATCGGATCGGTGGTCTTCCTGCAGTACGTTTGACATCCAGAGGAATCGCAGTCATTAACGGCTTCCGCCCATCCGTTGTCATTCATACGCATTACGTGTCCGGCCCACCTTATCTTCGACTGTTTGGTGTACAGAACGGCATCTTTGATTTTTGATCTTTGACGCAGATCAGAGCTTCGGATCCCATCTCTTACTTGTGTGGAACGGGATACTCCTAGCATCGTCCTTTTGACTGCGCGTTCGATAACGCTGAGTGACCTTTTATCCTGCTTACGCAGCGACCAGGTTTCTGACGCATGCGTTAGGGCATGAAGTACCGTTGAGTCGAAAAGGTGGGCACGGAGTCGGGTGTTCTTTGTTCTCTTCACTACATCCTCGATGCTCTTGACAGTTCCCTAAGCCGCTCGTTTTCTTCTGCTCAGCTCTGGAGCTAGATCGTTCATCATATTGATTTCTCAACCTAGATAGATATAATTAGAGCATTCGGAGATATTCGTTCCGTTGAGCGTGAATGGGGCATGGGGCATGGAGCAAATTCTCATCTGTTTAAAACCTTTAGAGCACTCTAGTTGTTGAAAAATTGCGTTTTACTGTTAAAAAACCAGAAAGACGGCAACCAACGAAAAATTGCTTGTAATCGGTTGGGCCAACCCTGAAATATGGTATCGGGTGCTACGGGTTAAGGGGTGAAGATTAGAACAGAGGTTGCGCTATGAGAAAGCAGCAACTATTCTTGCAACGCACATTATATGATTGAGGGTTCTGAGAGATGGGGATGCTATGAAATCGTGATGTGCACAACGATCATTTTAATTTGGGAGTTGTGAACCGACTAGCTTTTTACTGCACAAAAGAGAAATTCATTTTTGTTCTGTTCAGGAAGCCGTATTCTATTCATAGCCAACTATATATGCTTATCTTAACCCTTATAGATAAAAAATGAATCTGCTATGGCTCGCTTCATTCTCCATTTTATTCTGGGGACGGTGGGGTGTTAAAGGGTACTGTGGCTTTTCCTTAGGTTCCTAACAACAGAATTTAGAGCAGATTTTATAGCGTTGATCGATAAACTCGTATATTTGTTTGAATGTTTTAAAAATAGTGAACGAACTTGGCAAAACCCTAGACAACATATAAAACACTGATATGAGATTGTCGATAAATTTCAATTGGTGGTGAATCAGAAAAATCTCACCGTTCGGCTGATAGTTCTGATGATTTCGAGCAGACGTAATCAGTTGTGGTGATTGTGCTACAACCGAGGGTGTGCTCACCATCGACACCTGAACTTCGTCACCCACATTTTGAGTCATTTTCAAGTGATCGATGGACGACATCACCTTATTTCGTACAATTCGATTAATGGACGAGACTGATGGCACATTGTCCGGATCACAGATCCTTTCCTAAACGATGAGCAAGTCTCTTATTCAAAACCCCACTGCATGGTTAAATGGGTCCAAAAATAGTCCAATTTTCGTTGACGAACTTTTGGAACGATTCATTAAGTACTTCTGCTTTTGTCATAGCAGAAACTGAAAATTAACTCATATTCGCGGTCACGCACGTCGTAGGAGCGTTTGGGCAGAGCTGGTAGAACAACACACTCGTTCGACAAAATTCTCTGAGGTTGTTGCTAGAGATTTTTATTAATATTTCACCATTTCGGGCAGTATTCGAGACTTTGAGAAAAATGGGCCGAAATAAGGCATAAAGTACTTAGCGTTTTCATCACCTGCAGTAATTTCTCGCGAATTTCCCACGCGAACATGGTCGGGTTCGCTCGTTTGTAGGCGGCGATGCAGCCGACGACCCTCGGAGTAGCCACTTTCGGTTTTGAACCGCCTATCACTCCTATAACACTTTTATGCATAATCTCTACTAGTCCATGCGAAACTCGAACTTCTAAGGATTTATCTGCAAGCTAACGCATGAATAAACAATGCACCTATGTATCTCAATAAGGCTGCGAAGCATCGGCTATCTATAAGGATAATTTTTATAGTATTCTTCCCACTTTCAAAATTTTTTGTTGATTTTTGATTGCCCATCGTAAAACGCAATGAAACATGATTATTTTTTCCAATCAAGAGCTTTTCAATGCAACATTGTTTGAACGTATATTTGACCGAAAAGAAGTCGGAATACTGAAATCTTATAGGATCCCAAAGAGCTTACAACATCGCAGCTACACTCCATCTTGTTTCATGGCATAATGCTCTTAAGCTAATGAAAGGGCTAAAATATTTTCAGTGTGGAGAATTGGAACGTTTTTGCACTGCCGCGATGAATTGGATGAGAAGCATTGTTGGATGCAAGTACTATAATTCTTGTGAATATTTCGTTGTCAAAAAAGGGAAATACAAGATTAAGTAAAATGTGATGATGAGGACCTCGCAGGTGTAATCCTTTTCTTCGAATCAGTGAAGGATCTACAAAACCCAATACGATGACTGAACTGTTGCAAATTTATTGTTGTAAATGCGCCGACATCACGCAGTCCCATATCTACTCAGCCTCAAAATTCTGACATTTGTCAAAAATTTCTATAACTAGGTTCAGTTCGGTGGACTGTAACGCCACTGTTATGCCTCCCATAGCGAATAGTCGTCTCTCGATAAAACTCAGTTAAACTTTACGTGCTTTCGGAGTCAATAAACTCGCCAGTAAAGCATAAAACGCAAGATTGATCACTTGGAATCTACCACCTACTCTGTATGGTGTATCGAACTTCGGTAGCTCTGAGAAACACTAAAATTATAAATCAACAATAAGTTATAAGCATTTTAGCTTCACATCCGCGAGAGATCAACGAATAATCCGAACTTTTCACTTATAATAACACGGGTTTGAGGAAGACGAAATCGCCGAAACGTTAGCCATTAACCAACAACACCAACAGCAACGAAAACAACAACGACAACAACAGCAAAGACCTATACCAACCTCGCATTGGCTAAACAAGACCAGTTTATGAGATCTTATAAATAAATCTGAACTTTTATGCTCACTTTCTAACACATCTTGAAAACGAGAAGTGTTAAAGGTTAGTGATTGTTAAACATAGTGCGATATGTCACGTATTACGCGAGCTTTGTCAAACACAGACGGATAATTCGCGAGGGACGAGTTCCAGTGGGAGAGCGCCGACGCTGAGTACGGTACCTACCGACCGGCCAGGACAGGTCCAAGTGTGATGACGTGCTCGCATCGCTTAGTTCTTCTGCAGGCGTCGAGCCTCGCGCGACAAACATACCGATTTCCGGTGTTGGTGCCGAACACGACACAATGCGCTCGCTCCACCACGCTCTGATAATCGCCAGCCGCGCTCGGAACGGTTGGATTTGAGGAGTTGAAGTGCGACGGGGCCGAACTGAATTCGTTCCGCGATGTTCTGGCAAAGGATGTTGAGCTCGATCCGTAATCTAGATGTTTCCGTGATGGAAGGACTTGCTAACATGAGCTATAATCATTCCACTCATCCGTCTAAGGTATTAATCCATCATATATCAGCGGTTAAAAACCAGCGTTGGCAATGGTGGGAGTGTGAATTATGGACCTATTCATGAATTTCTATACAAGGAGGAAGAGAATAAATTTATTAGAAATTGGAAAGCAAGCCTGGAAAATATAAATTTGATCTCTTCTCACAGTCTTGTATTTATTAAAGTGTTAAAATAAAAAAATTAAAATTATTTAGACAGACTTTTCCATCCGCGTTAAGTTATTTCTCAATTTCGACCATGTAGTGAGTGCTAAATGTTGTCAGGTAATCTACTCTGCAGGTCCACCGATGTTGAGGGAAGCAAGGATTCGATTTGTCTGGTACAGAAGACGCACCAGCGACCATGAAGCGACGCATGATTAGCTGCTTGTCGTTGTAGGATCTCTACTACCCCACGGTGCTTATGCGTTCCTCAGTCTCGAGCGGCTGTCTATGGTGATGTATTAGGACTTTTTGTTACGTTTTTTGAGTTCTAGAGAAAAACTTCTGCTTCCAACAAAATATCAGCTCAAAAAAATTCTATAACCTTCTCACTATTGATGGAGACAGGTGGTCTCATCACGCGATAATTTCTTGATTATGTCTGATTCTGTTACACAAACAACGATCACTAGAGGAACGTGGGGTGCCTGCTTTTACGAACGATACACATTGAGTGCTGCCCAGCTATTCAAACGCTAGAAGATTTAATGCACTTTCCTTCACTGAGAAGCAATTCATACAGAGGTTAAATGAATGTCGGTTTACAACAGTATTACTTGGAGACTTCTTTCAGCGAGAATCGTTTAAGGCAATGTATTCACCTTAAAGAATAAGTGAGACGCATTGACATTAGACTACGTTCAGAAATCGAAATGGTTTTTACGCCTCCAAAGGATAGGAACAAGCACTACAGCTTTCTTTTCGCATTCATCCGTTCACTCCTGTGATTTCTAATGAATTTTAAGTGTTTAAACCACATTATTTCTAAAACTTAAGGATAAACCATCATCTAAATCCTGTTCCAAACCTATCATTTAAAATCCATGTCAACTTGTTCCCAAGAAACGAACGTAAATACCATTGTGTGCACACGAAGTTGTGCAGACCAGAGGACGAGCACGGCCACACTCAGGCTTACTTATGAACTCGCAATAGAGCGGATTAAAGAGTGTAGATCCACTTTGTGTTCTAAATACAGCGACTTAAGGGACCAACCTGCGGGTAGGTTCTGTCCTTCAAGAACAAGTACGCAAACGAATATCCCACCCGTAAAGAACGAAGGTCTTGGTTCGTTCTTGTGTGAGGAGGGCTTGTAGGAGACAACGGTGTTCATGGTGTTAGCAATATATCCATTGAAAACCCGTGTTTACAAGGATTAAACATAAAACTTCCTGCCAGACGTAGATGGAATTAGGCTTAAGGCATCCACTGATTTCTAGGAACTTGGGAAATACACGTATTTTGGAAAGGCACTTTACACGACACATCGTAAAACGACCACAATCGATTAAATGGTAAAAACTTTAGGAGTTCTATATTATTAAAGAAAAAAGTGTAACCCCTGCCAAAACTATTATGCCTTCGCGATTAAACTGGCAAAAAATTATGAATACTTTCAGCCACTGAGCAACTCCCACTGTTTTTACTACAAAAATCATTCTACTTACCGGGTTTCACTGAACCAGTCTCATAAAATCGTCCCAGAATTTTCGAAACACATCCGTGGCTAACCCTGAAAGCGAACCAATACACAGCCGAGAGTGTGTTACAATTGCAGATTCTCTCGGATAAAATCCATTTTCGAAGATAATCAGGTATCAGTCTTATTTTAAAAGGGCATTCGTGTTTAAAAGCTTCATTTAAAAAAGTTTTTAACGTTTTATACTGGATCCAACGGTATTTTTACATTGCTTATGATTAAAAAACAATTTTGGAACATTTGACCACTAAAATGCTGTTACGGTTTTCAACGAAGGTTGAACATCACGAAAATTTTCTCCAGAACCGGAAAAGACAAAGGTTGTAAGACACGTGAACAAAGAAGTGATTCAATGCATCCACATCATCGTTATTATCCCTATTTCTAGATGTGGCCACCAGACCGTTTAGGTGGTTTTACAAAAACGAGGCGGAAGAAGGTGGAGAATTCTGACTGCTGTTCATGATTTTCTTCGAACGGTCGAAGACACGAGCGGTTTCCATAATTTTGAATAATAGCGAGAAATCCAGAATAGCGAATCAATAGTGCATTGATCTTCTAGCAGAGAGCTCTTTACAGATGAGAAGTATGGGACCCCAGGTCTTTAAAACTGTTAGCACAAACTAGAATCTCTTTGGGAACGGAGCAAAGACAAGACCGAATAAGACGATAGTTGCTGTTAGCCGTGTTTTCTAAAATCATTAAGTATTAAGACGCAGAGTGAAATCTAGAGGAAAGCCTTAGACGCCTTTCGTCATCTGTTTATGAACATGTTTCTTTTCTTTCAACGTATGTAACAAGTTTTGGTATATTCTGTATACCGCGAAGATCTTATAAAAGCGTATGATGTGCTCAAATAAATTTTGAAAAGGCTAATAGTTCATTGAAAGATGAGTGAGGTACGGTGAACAGTTTTGAAAAAAAAATGTGAGGATTTACTCAGTTGTTTTTTATGGCGTTTTATATGGTACTGAAGATTAAATAGTACCGGCAATCTAAATATAAATAATCTAAATATTTACCTCAGTTGCCTAGAAATGTCGCATGGACGCACACCCTGATGAGCCATTTCAACAATCCGACCACGGACGTGATCCGGTAGAGGTCGACCGTTCACGAATACGCCACCAAGTTGGTTGACTCCAGTGTGGCCATTGTCAATAGGGAATGCTCCCAGTTGATGAGCAAACGGTGATGGTCCGAGATGAGGTGCGGGCACGCCAGAATGAGGAAGTGAGCCTGCCGGCGAGGTGGCTAGAGAGGGTGGGTAGTAGCCGTATCCTCGCCACAGATCCATGCCTAGTCAAGCGAGTGGCTACCCATGGTCGCCCTCGACGAGCGCCGCGAAGGCCACGCCACGCCTCCCAACTCGTGATTCGCTGAGACCCACCACTTACAGTATCTGTTGCACTTTGTTGCTTGTTAACAAAATCACTCCATACAACATTCCACCTCTTTCAAACAATTGCCGGTGGTATGCTTGGTCTTTCGAAAGCAGTCGTCACTAGATAAGCGTTTGCGATATGGGTCATCCCTCGGTAAGCGGATATAATTAGCCGGCGACAGCCGATACTCATCCGCCAAGTATGCAGTACACGCAGTCATTCGTCGGTCAATGTTTTTGAGTTAAAGCTAAGTGGCCTTTCATGGGATTGCCATCGTTTCCAAAGTCTCATCGGGCAAAACATATGTGATGAGCTTGAAATTCGGAAACTCTTCCATGCTCCTAGCAATTATCAATTCTCTGTTTTTCTTCGATAAGCAAACACGAGGTTGGTATTATAGAATTCATTAGCATGCAATAGCTGATGTTTCAGTGGTTTCGCTTTCTTCAGAACCCTTTTATTCATTGCAAGCATTCCTATTTACTGTTGGAGAACAGACGCACAGAGTAATACATAGGCGAGGAATGTCCACCAATTAATAGGATTACTTGCACAGAAAACGACTCTGCAAAAGGCGAAACCGCCGAAACGTCAGCTTAAATTCTACAGTATCAACCTTGTGCTTGCTTGTCCAAAAAAAAAACAGTGAATTGTCAATCAATGTTGAGGTTAGTAGAAAGTTGGTCTTGGGAACTATCAATTCTGGCAGTGGAACTGGTTTTCTGATGAGAACGGAAACCAGCTCGGTTTCGACTTACAAAATGTCGTTTGCCTTACAGAGAAAGAGTGATTCACATGTGATATCAGACCTTAAGCAATTATAGTTGACTAGTTCTTCATCAATTCCATACATGAGCAAAGGGAACCACCGCACTGTTTTCATGCAAGTAAATAACATTCAGATAAACCAACGGTTTAGGAATAAAGTGGCAAACGGTGAAAGATATACTTTTCATCATAAGTGCTAAAACCTTACTAGCGACAGTGAGTGTGTTTTTGCTTAACGTCAAAACTTCTATCTTATTTACTTTACTTTTCAATTTTAAAACCATTCTTAAACTGAAGAGATAAAAAGTAGAAAGTGGAACAAACGAGAGAAGGACATTAGAAAGAGATGCAGACGGTAAAAGTATAAATATGGGGTTTCCGAAATGGATATGGATTGGGTTTTCACAAATTGTGGCAGTAGTAAATAGTTACGCATTGATGTAAATGCTCGTAATGTAAAAATAATGTCCGCTTTCAATGCTAAACTAAATCTACAGAGATATTTGCAAAACTCCGGACCACAGGTGTATGCAATGGAGAACGAACACGCGCTGTTGTCCTTACCGGGGAGCAGCGCACTTCACCACTACACCATCCGGGTTCTTCGCTTTGCGTGTATCTCAGCTAGTTCTATCGATATCGATATCGAAAAAAAAAGATCGATAGAACTAGCTGAGATACACGCAAAGCGAAGGACCCGGATGGTGTAGTGGTGAAGTGCGCTGCTCCCCGGTAAGGACAACAGCGCGTGTTCGTTCTCCATTGCATACACCTGTGGTACGGAGTTTTGCAAATATCTCAGCATTTCATATAAATCTACAGAGATTGCCTATGTAAGTAGGTTTTGTTAGTCTCAAAGGCGAGGGCAAGTATTTCAAGCACGGTGACTGCATTCTATCCAAGAGGACATAACGGTCCTCAATGGTATAATTGGTGTCTGCCGCTATGGTGCCTTCTTTGAAAATTAAAGCACCTAAATGCTGTTTTCTACTCTCTTCTCGACAGTTTTTTAGAAGTCTTGGTTCAAAACAAAGTGAAAATTGAGAAGGGGCTATAACATGTTGCACACATCCTCAACGGCAACACAAGTGTCTCCTTTAAAACTGCAATGTTCTCAACTCGACCACTCTACTAATTGAAAACTTGTCAGCAGTTGTCAAAGCACTAGCAAATATGTTGATGGACATATCGGCATCAAAATCACCTGTTCACGGATCTCGGAGGATCAGACCGAGCTTCTGACATATCACCAGTTGCTGAAAGGTGTTCAACTCTATAAATCATGTGCACGCCTCACTGAAATGTCTCGAAAGTAAAAAGAACTCTGAACTCTGTTTCACTAACGAAAGTCTATCGAAACAGCAGACGAGGGAGGAGTCGTGGAAACTTTGAACTGTCATAATTTCTATTCGCAAATTTATGAAATCGTTCATGAGCCATACAGTAATAATTTTACAACAAGAACTCCCACGACCGACTTTCTATTAACCTCGGCATTGATCAAGTAATTCTTCGTATTTTTGTTGAGCAAACGCGAGGTGTTATTATTCTTTGTTCACGAATGAGCTGACGTTTCGGCGGATTTCGCCTTCCTCAGAGCCGCTTTCTATGAGGTCTCCACTAAGTATGTCACGTAGAGACCAACCGCACAGAAATCACATGGAAGTTTAATGTGTATAGTANACTCCCACGACCGACTTTCTATTAACCTCGGCATTGATCAAGTAATTCTTCGTATTTTTGTTGAGCAAACGCGAGGTGTTATTATTCTTTGTTCACGAATGAGCTGACGTTTCGGCGGATTTCGTCTTCCTCAGAGCCGCTTTCTATGAGGTCTCCACTAAGTATGTCACGTAGAGACCAACCGCACAGAAATCACATGGAAGTTTAATGTGTATAGTATAAAGTATAATTATAGTATTAAAGTATAAAGTATAATTCGTATACATTATACTTCCATGTGATTTCTGTGCGGTTGGTCTCTACGTGACATACTTAGTGGAGACCTCATAGAAAGCGGCTCTGAGGAAGACGAAATCCGCCGAAACGTCAGCTCATTCGTGAATAAAGAATAATAACACCTCGCGTTTGCTCAACAAAAATACAAAGAATTTACAACAAGAATTTCACCGTCTTATAACGACATTGTCATTGATGTAAAGACAGCAATGCTACAAAGTAAACCAATGTCGCAAAATCCTCTCATGAACGTTGTACTAAAGTGGGAATGTGATAAAGCGGGATTAAAAGTCAATGGGATGGTGCTACGAGATCACCGTTTCACTTTGACACCGTCCTTATAACAATAGGCATTCCTCAAGTGAAACCGGCCCTTGAAAACTTTTGTGGATATAAGACGGTCTTCGCTTGAACATCGAGGCACCATTGCCCGCGGGAGACGGAACCACTGTTTCTATTCTCCATCAATAGTCAGCTAATCGGATGTTGTCTTATGCTCCACATCTCTGTTGGAAAGTCAGTATGGCTAAATTAGCTACTGGGACCCATTATGAGATAAAGCGTGACTTCGTGAACATACAAGATCATCGAGAAGCAGTGAGCAAAAGAAAGCGTCCGCTGCTTCATCTCTATTTTATCTACTTTGTCATTCTTCTAGCCTAAATTTACTCTACTGAAACCTGCATACCACGTTAGCAGAATGTAGATGGGATGAGCATTATCGAAAGAGAAAGTCGCCCTCTAGTAAGCAGGTGAGAGAGGGAAATAGATGCCGCAACCCACGTTGGCTATGTGAGATCGCTGACATTGCTGTATACGCTAAGATATTGAAAACCTGGGTTAGGTGGTCTTGTCTGGTGCATCCTCAGGACAGCCGATGAACATGAGCCATTTACCACTGGATCCTGTCCAATGCCAAATGCACATAAAGAAACCCCACCAAATTATCAGAACTCTTTTGACATGCACTTTGTGTTTTTTCAAGTGCAGTGGCACCAAGCAACTGTGGCACTGAATGGAAATAAGATTTGCCCACCCGTGTAATCCTACGAAGGGCGATGAACCAGGTGACAGATAAACGATATATTTAAAAGATATTCTCTGCTTTCATGAATAGGAAGAAAATAAGGCAAATTCACTTGCTAAACTGGAACACAAGGACAGATCTTTTTTATTTTTTCAAACTTAGTATCTTTCGGCACTCTTGATCAGGAATGACAAGCATCAAAATGTTCCACAATTCTCGGCATGACTATGTTGCATTATAATTCCTAGTGGTTATAGGGTGAGTGTGGCGCAGTGGTCTGAAGCACCCTGAAACACACATGTGGAATCGATACCTGGGCCCAAAGCCCACCAAGCCTTCCATCCCTCTAGGGTCGGCGAACTTGTACTAGACTTGTCTGGAAGACAGTAGCACTGGCTCGATACATCGGCAGGCCACCCAGACTCATTGTAAAGGCCAGATATGCATTCAATCACCTCCAAACGATGCTTAATGAGGTCGAGTGCATGGCGCATTCTTCAGGGATTGGAGAACAGCAAGAGCTTTATCCTTTACCCTTTATGAGGCAACAGCTCTATTCATAATTCTCGAACCATTTCAGCATCACCCTATTTCTTCAAATTATTGTTTCAAAAGGACGCTGATGGCATGAAGGTTGGAATGGTTATGTTACCGAAGTGGTTCTTTTTCTTATTTTTAGGATATGTTGTCGATTTCTTCACGACCTAGAATGGAGAGTTTCTATGGAAAGCGACGGCAGCCTTCTAAACTATAGAGTAAAAAAACATGAAATGAAGTTAATCACTGCTTTTTGAAAGAGTTATGAGATATTTGTCGTGCTTGTAATGCCGTAATTGTTGGATTGATGGTTGTCGATTTTCTACTTCTCTCCACATCTTCACGATAACAAGAGCCATTGAAGTATTGTGAGATTACAAAAAGCTACTCGGTCTCACTCTCATCGATTTAAGGAAACCATTTGACTCAGTTGTGACAGAAACAGTCATAGAAGCCCTGGACAGCCAGAGCGTTGTAGTCACAAAGATTCTTCGTGACATGTATAAAAATTTCACCATCAAAATATCACCATTCCATAACGATATTAAGAAGGACGGAAAAAGTTGGTGGCGAGAACGGCTTAAGAAGCTTTCAAGAGCACCGAGGTTGTAATGAGGAGAA